ATGATGACATGGAAACCATTTCTAACCCTCCATTACACTTACCAGACAATACTAGCAGAATTGAAATTTCTGAATTGAAATTTCTAATAATTATTCTGAATAGTCCTACAGATTATCATCAGATCACCCCACTCAGCATCTCCTGGCTGTGTCTTGCCCTCTTTCCACCTCAAAGGTTCTGTATTCACAACCCAGCTAATCCCTTCCCCTCTCTCTCTTCCATCAATGCCTGCTCTTTAATAAATTCACTCACACATTAGCATAAGTGCCTGATCATGGCTTTATTTTTTACTTTGTCCCTGGTGTTAACACATTTTAAAGCATGTTAGTCATTAAAGAAATAAGCGATCATGTTTCTCCTTTTTGTTTTAGAAATTATTCTTGCTTTATCATGACACATACAAAAACAAGAAAGTATTCTTTCTAGGTATGACACCTAAAATATATATATAATTTTGGATTGGTGACTTTTGCTTTTGTCATTTGGTATTTTTTGAAGTGTAAGTAGAGCTCTATGTTTTATTATGTTTGCCAAATGAAAGCATTGAGTGCGACATCATTGTCAGAGGAATACACTTGCCTACCACATAGGGACCACGTGTTCATGACTATATGGGCCTCTGACAAAAATCTCAATTTCTACCTTATCATCTGCTGTATAATTAAAAACAGATATTAATAGTATGTTTCTTTCAATATCATGAATGTTCTTTGGGTTTGGGACATGACACTTCTGGTCTATGTTCATGCATCACGATTAAGAGAAAAGGTGTTTTTAAGAGTCTACGTACACATGGCCAGTTCCTGAGGCTAACCCTCTGGAATCAACTAAAGCTTTCAAAAGAATGAAGTCACACTATGGGTTGAAGACAGTCTGTGACATTTTAAATTATTAAAAAATTCAAAAATCAATAGACCTGATGAATTTTAAAAGAAGATTGTAAGATAGATTTTTTACTTTTCTGGCTCTGACTTGTACATCCCTTTTAAAACCTACTTTTAAAATAACCAGTCCAGTATCTTGAGAGTCATTTCACAATATATTTATAAAATCACCATGCCCTTAAGCTACGTAGGTCACCTTTTTTTTTCCCCCCTCATCTTTTGGCATTGAAACAAGTTTTACATAAAGAATTCCTAACACACTGGAAATCACTCTTAAAGCTCTTCAGAGGAGATTGAGTAGACTTCCTTTTCCTTGCTGACTACACACATTATTTACATGTGGTCTAAATCTCCACTGCGGTAATTGGACAGTACTTCTTGGCTCTGCAGCCTCAGAAGAGAGAAACGATCACGATGGGCCATAATGTCTATTATATAAAAGCTACTGGTGAGCACGCATGAAAGCAATCATTCAGTTTTTACTTAAATACATCATAAGGCTGTTCTGACATGTAAAGGTAGCCAGGCATAGCAGTCAGAACCTAATTTTACAGCAGATTAGTAACATGAAAAGCCAATGCAATGCAGTCTATAGGTTATGGGAGGATCTGAACTGAGCTGCCTGACTAAAACCTTGATCTTCCCACCATAGCACTGACATATCAATACATTATTATTGCCAAAGTTATTGAATCCTTTTATATTTTAAGTGTAGTAGGGAGTCAGAAACTGTTACAACGTCATCATAGTACAGTTTGACATTGTTTCTTAAAATGCACTCACTTTCCTCAATATCTGCTAGGCATATTAGTTAATAGTGTCAGCAATTAAAAATTATCCTCACAATTCTTCCTAAGGTTGAGAAATGAGTATTAGAGAAAGTCAAGAGATGGAGTCTTTTGTGGAAAATGTGGGCAAATTACAACCCCCAAAAATGTCAATGTGTGTCTTCTACTCCCTTAAAAAAATACAGACATTATAAAATGATAGAATCATTTTAATATATTTTAATTTGGTGGGTACTTTGGGACTATTTCATCTAAAGCAATATTGGGGCACATTGTACTCAAGCAGATACATAGGATCATTTTGTTGTAATGACTATCTGAATGCCCACTGCCAAAAGCTCTGTGAGGGCAGATGTAATGTCCTTCTTGCTGAGTGGCATTCTCTATATGCATGGTAGGTGACCACAAGGTATGTACTAAATTAATAGATGAGTTGAGGAGCCAAATGGGCTTACAAAAATGAAAAACATATTGAATAAGCGTGGGGACATGAGAATGTGCCTCAAAGACCTCCAACTAGAGGGAGATTAATTGACCAAGAGTCTCAGGTGCTGGGCTCTGAAATCCATTCTCATGCCTGTACCAAGGCCATGCTTCCCATGGGCTCTCAGACAATGGGTGATCGCAGCAGGCATTCTGAGGTAGGCTCATTCCTGGGAAACAAGGGACTCCTCTGAAGGCTGCCTTTGATTCAAGGGCTCCCCAAAGACTTTGCTAAATCCTTCTTAGATTGCACAGTGGTCTAGGACACCTTGTCTGATTTTCCCTCCCTCTCTCCTTTACTTGTAGACAGAGTGGCATGGCCATCCAAAGGCTCTACCAGCCTTAGCCAGGCCCCTTACGCTCTGTTACACAAGTGTTCCCTTAACAAATCCTCACATTTAATCCTATATTGGCAGCTGTTTCTAGACGACACAGACTAACACAATAAGAAATTTTAAGACTGAGCAATTCTCTTTGGAACAATAATGCCTCCACTTTTTAACCATTTTGTTGACCTATTTTATTATGAATTAATATACTATATCAAAATATAGTAATATACTATATAACATTTTGCTATAAATTTATATACCACACAAAATTTGATCATCAGTTATTAATCTCCTTTGAATTACAAATGATTAGTATTCAGTCAAGATCCACACCTTAGGCACATACTAAATAAATTATCACTTATATTTTTAGAAGAATGAGTTGATTAGGACTATAACTCTACTGCTCAATTTGGATTTTAATCTTATTTTTCAGCATGAGTGATATGCATTTGAATAATATGCAACTCTTGAATAAAACATTGACATCTTTATTTCTATATTACTATCTCCCATATTCATTTACAAAAGGGGAAACAAGTACTTATATATATATATATATGTATATATATATACATATATATATACATATATACATCGGGCTTCCGTGAGCCCGATGTTCAGCAAAGAAGTGTCCACGCAGACGGTCCCACTGCAGTGGGCAAGGCTCCACCCTCTAAGCCCTTCATCTCTGCCTCATCCTGAATCGCCCTAGGACCCTCATCTCATCTTTTCCCCAGACACCTGCACACAGACCTCCCCCCCAGCTGAGAGCCATAAGGAATCAGATAGACCCCACTGTTAAGATAGTTGGGGTTTTGTTGTTGCTGCTTGTTTGTTTGTTTAGATTTTTTCACATTCTCCTTGGCTTCCTATGTTATGCTATAGTTAGCAATGTAATGAAATCCTCTAACATTATTTTTAAAATGATGTTCAGAAACACCTTAGTTACATATCCAAAGTAAAATAGCCAATTTGTGGAGACCAGTGTCCTTTACAGTGTCCTGAAATAGCTATAAATAGTTCCCACTGCCAAATATGAGATAACTAAATATATCCCCTTTTTGTTTTAACTGAAAGCCTAGCCATTTTTCCCATACATTTGAAGTTTAGTCTAAAACTAATGCTCATGTGCACAGACTTAGGAGTGTATGTCATCTTATCTGTTAATGAGACATCAGGGGACAAGATTTGAATCAACTTTAAAGGTTTACAAAATAAAGTAGAATCACCATTTCATGCCAAATATGTTATTGGCTATATATGCATCCTTAGAGCAAATGATATACATGTCAGTCTTAAACAGTTGGATTTATGTAATTAACACTGTGAGACTCACTTGGAATATTTAAGTTAAGCATCCAAATACCTAAGTAGTACTCTTCACATATTTTTTATATCTACTATAACACAGCAGAAGAGCATTGCAATTCATGATATTTCCCCTGTTTGTTTGGAGAATAAGAACACATAATCTTGGTTCTCATCATAGTACTTGAAAGTCTATAAATATTTATAAACTTAACTATTAACTTTCTCAAGGGCCAATATTTTTGATCATTCACCCATGGGTTTAATCAAACATTTTCAAGGTTCTGAGATTATGTGAAGGGAACATAAGGAATGATTAATAGAGGTACAAATAACTGAAAAGGTCAAAAATAAGAATCCATTTACTATCTTCGACAAAATATTCTAGGTTGGTGTCAAATATCAGGCTAGAATGAAAACCAGACTACAAGAAGCCAAATAATGTGAAATATCAATACTCTTTATAATTTATTTACAACTAAAAAGAAAATACCTTTTAAAATTTACTTCCCTGTTTCCAATTTAGTCTTTGTTGGCAAATGTAAAAAAAAATCAGCTCCATTATCAGAAGTCACTGATGGAAATAAATAAGAATTATAAGGCATGTAGATCGAGTTTGAGCAGGCATGGCTGCAAACTGCAACACTGCAAGGCCAACAGGATCCAAGCATAACGTAATGCATGTTCACTAACTTGGAGAAAAGTAATTGCATTCTCCTTCCATTTCTTTCAGAACTAATCTTAGTTTTACTATTAGATGAAGATTTGTATATGTGGCACCTGATTGATAGATATGTTGTTATTTCTGTCTCTATTACTTCATATTTTTTTTTTTTTTTTGAGACAGAGTCTCACTCTTTTGCCCTGGCTAGAGTGCCGTGGCATCATACTTGATATTTTTGAAGTGGGAGAAGAATATCACGTTTCCTTAGGCTGGATTGATACATGCCAGAGGCCAGGGTGACCATCCTGTCAAAAGAAGATGCTCGCTCGCCTCTCAGGGAGCCCCTACGCATAATTACATACGCCTTCACCTCGATTATCACTCACTTCATAGTTTAAATAAGGCAAGGGATTTCTTTTGTCATGACAAATTGTGTGAATGTGTGTGTGTGTGTGTGTGCGTGCGCACACGCGATATGACTCTTCTGATGCATGTTTGTATATCGTGGTTAGGAGAAAGGTAGTTTCCTTTACTTACCTAAAATCCTGCCCAGTACCAGAGATTTGACTGCACTGAATTCTGTGCCTGATGACAGGTGAACTTGTCTCCTTGTATTCTCATCAATCTACAAAGTTATTACATGAGACATAAACATCCAAATGGATGCCATTTTGTTGAAAAGATAGAAAGTAAAGTAAGACAAAAAGAAAAGGATAAATTAAGCAACTGCGAGCATGGCCCCAAAGGTTTAGCTAATAATACATTTTAAAGAGTTAATCATTTAGAAAGGTTTTTCTACACTATTTCTATACTACCCTCAGATACCACTGTACCCCACCTTCTATCCCCTTATATTGCTTTATTTTTCTCCATCATATAAGGAATTCAAAATTTGTAAGGCAAAAAAATACAATGAGTTATTTCTCACCTCAATACTTTTACTTAGCTTGCTATTTTTACTTAAGTCAAGCAGCTAAGAAATTTTCTTCTATGTAGAACACCAAAACGTTAGTGATTTTCTTAAAAAAACTAGTTGTGTGCATAATTCTTCATTCTTTGCTGTGGTTCATATCATTTTAAAAAATGTATTCTGATACTGCAATTATTATTTTCTGCACAAGAACTTTCACTGCATTTATACACATCTAACTGGTTTCATTGTAATAGCGATGGTCCTACCATTAGTACACTATGATAAACTAGACATCATTCTCCTACTGAGCAAAGTAAAACAAGAAAAGGTGGTGTCTTAAGTATCAGATATTAATAATATGTTAAGACAGAATCTTATTGCTTAAAAAAAACTGACCATATTTGATGGTCTATGATCTATAAAAGAAGACCACTGAAAGTATCTTTGTTTATTATATTCATTATCAAATTTCTGCTGTAGGTACTGGAGAGTCGTCATTATAACTGTTGCTTCTGTCAAATTTACTATATTACCTCTACAACGACCACTCCCTCTTCTCTGTTAATCTCTATGTGGTGAAGTTGTCCATCAGCCATGTTTTTAAAATCAAAGTTAACAACATCATGTTCTTGATATCTGTTTAGCTTGTACCTTATCTGCAAACTTCCTAAAGTAGGAAAAAAGTCATATTTTCAGTAAAAAATGTATTTTAAGAACTACTTATAAAAAATCACAGTCCTTTGGTGGTTGCTATTTATTCATTTCTCAGAAAAAATTTACAATCGATAATAGTTCATTTGGAAGATACCTTCCAATCATAATTCCTAGAAGTAAGTTTCTAAACGAAATTGCAATATTGTATTTTCAAAATCGAGACCAAGCATCATGCTCATAAGCAGTCTCTTTCCTGCAAATCTTTAATTTTCTTCATTAAAAGTAAACTCAGATTAAGCATATGCAAACCTCTGCCCTAGCCTCTAACTTAAAAACAAAACGAGATTAAGTATTTCTGAAATGCCAAACTATTGCAAAATATTACAATAATATTGTTTCTATAATCTTATCTTTTGAAAAAAACATATTTCACACTCCTGAAATACAATTGATTAATGAAATTATTCAAAGCAAATATATTTTTACTAAAGATAAAAAATATATCCAAGTGGACATAGTCATAGACTTTGAAATGAAGTTAGCTAAAGTGAACGGCAGTAAGCCAAACTTGCCATTAGAATTAATACAACTCACTTAATTGCCTGCAGAGATGTCAACTAATATATTTTACAGGATACCAAGAAAATGTTCTAACAGATAAGTTTCAAGCTCAAAATGTACAATGAAGGTAAATATACTTATTGAACAATATTATTCTTATTTTGGTGTTCAGTGTCCTTGGGCCACAATTGATTAGTTGAAATGATATATTCACATGGTTGTACATTTATTCTTATCACCCAGAGAATGTATTCCTAAAATTTTTATCTTTCATCCAGATATAGGGAAAATAAAAATAGCAGGAAGTGGTTTTCTGTGATGAGGTTTTCTGTAGCAAACACATTTCATAATCTACGTACCCTTACCCTCCATGGATATACCATTATTTCCAATGACTATTTTATTGCCTAAAGTCAGAAATGACAGGTCATTCCGTGGGCATTTCCTTATACATAATACTGGTTTATTAACACTCCCTTAATATGTCTTCACTTTGATTTGGAGGAAATATTTGCTATTGTACAACATCTTATTTCAAAATGAACCATAAAACCAATATCAATATTCATATGGAATAGTCAAGAGCCTCTGGTAATAATATAATGCATATTTTACATAAATAAAGTAAAATTTAATATTGCATATGTAAAATTAACAAAATTATAAAGAGATAGGCCGGGCGCGGTGGCTCACGCCTGTAATCCTAGCACTCTGGGAGGCTGAGGCGGGTGGATCGCTTAAGGTCAGGAGTCCGAGACCAGCCTGAGCAAGAGCGAGACCCCATCTCTACTAAAAAATAGAAAGAAATGATCTGGACAACTAAAAATATATATATAAAAAAAATTAGCCGGGCATGGTGGCGCATGCCCGTAGTCCCAGCTACTCGGGAGGCTGAGGCAGGAGGATCGCTTGAGCCCAGGAGTTTGAGGTTGCTGTGAGCTAGGCTGACGCCACGGCACTCTAGCCCGGGCAACAGAGCAAGACTCGGTCTCAAAAAAAAAAAAAAGAGAGATAAAGGCATTTTAATTCTTTTAAATAACCCTTTTAGATTAAACTTATAGGACAGTACTAAAAAGCAAAATGAATACAAAAAGCAGGCACATTCTTCTTTCCCGGTTTGAGGTTTGAGAAGCAAGAACACAAGACCCATCCATATTGTTAGCGCCCTAATGTTCTAATTTAATTTTCTGTCTTCCATCTAAAAAAAAACTCACCATTTTTGGCAATGATGACTGAAAGGTATTCTTTGTATGAGGAGCTCACAAAAAGCAGCAAGCTTGGTGTTTGTGTTGTTCGGAAGCTAAATTTGATCATTTCTCTACTCAGCTTCATATCGCCATGAAATGAAGCAGCGTGGGAGCTGGAGTTTTTACTTAAAAAATAATTTTCTTGAAAACTGTAAATCACAGATGAGCCAGATCCAAAATATGCAGAAATCTCTGAAATAACATGGACATTTTATGTTCAGAAAATTTAAGTACAAGGATCTTGTTTTAGTTATTATTGATTTTTAATTTTTTAAAGCAATGAAATGCATAGCTAGAACAACCCCGAACTGAAATTGAATAACACAGTAAATTAATAAAGCCTTCATAATGATCTTTCAAATGGCTTTTTGTTAAAATGACATATTATTAATTCACTAGTATAATTTTACAACTGAAAGCTAAATGCCTTCTCATCCGAGCTCAGACATAAACCAAGCTTCTTGTCTTTTACCTCCTTGATCATCACTTTCTTATTTAAAATTGAACTCTTATCTACTATTTTGTAGTCAGAATACAGTAGTCTTCCTGCACTAGTTAGAAAAGAAGAAAGTTTGAAGGATTCTCTTCCCTTCCAGGATCAACAGGCAGAAAATTTTCCTTTACATCCAAACATTTTCTCAAGTTTATTGTGCACTACAAAAAGAAAGCTAAGTCTAGTATTAATATGAAAAAGGAAAGTAGGATCAACAAAAGAAACTATGTAGCCTCTTTTAAATTATTTTATGAAAGCATATATTTCCCTTGTGTGAGACTCACATTCCAAATTCTCTCTCTCCCTCTCACATGCGTGCGCACACACACACACACACACTCCCCAAATATATATGTACGAAAAGGAAGAGAATGGGAGAATGGTGGGAGGAATTATTAGTTTTTAACCTGCTTCTCTCCATTCCTACAAAGGGCTGGTTGCTAAGTACAAATTATAGATGATACTTACTGGGTGAGACAGCAATGCCCAGACTCCCTTGAATTTCAGGGATTTTTTTTTTTTTTTTGCGTGTTTGCTTTATTGTTTTTATTATCTAGAGTATACTTTTAATAGCCAATATAATTTATGCATACAGAGGAACATTTCTGATTGCACTTAGCAAGATGAACTGGAAATTATTTATATTTAGACAATGAAGACATGTTCTTATAAAGAGGTGGTCTTAATTCTAACTTTAAACATGAAAAGTCTCCTAGAATGGTAGCAGTAGTACATGATTATTATTACGAGTTGATTTGTAAATTATAGCTCATTCCTGAAAAAAACAGATGACTTGAAAAGTGCATTTTGGCCAACTTTTCATTAACTCAACCCAATGCTTTCTTTGCAAATCAGGAGTTGCTTCAATTTGGAGCCAGTTTTTGTTAGCCTCCTTCAGAGAAAGGTTCAGTAGCCTAGAGACACTTAAATAAAGAAATTGAATTTAAATTGGATGCCAGTTTTCTATGAGGAGCTATGAAAGTATAATAAATGTTTGTATATTCAGAGAAGTCTGTCCAGTACACTTAATACTATGCTCAGTTCTTTCTTTCTTCCATGTCATAGATCAGTGAATGAGAGAAGCTGAAAAATATTCTATTTTATTTGTCCTGCAGATATCAATATAGCATACAATACAATGTCTCAGTGTCTCTATTTTGTTATGCATCAATATTTAATGGAAAAGTTATTTATATTCCTAGCCAAAGTATTTGGGCAAAAAACCCAAACAAACCGAATACAGAAACAATGCTTTCTAAATTCCCTTGCATTGCCGAATATCTTTATAAAAAATAACAATAATGCTTTTAATGATTTTAAAATAGAGAACTGCCACATCGGACAGGTTGCTGGCAGCCATATTATTTAAGAGTATCAACATTAGATGGAAGAAAGCAGATTGAGCACTTAATACTTTAAGACACCTGGAGGCAACTATTACTGATGTTATCAGCAACAGACGCTAGTTTTTCAAGATTTGAGTCAAATAATCTAAGTAATGAAATATTATTGGCATTACATAGATACTTTGCAAAAGAAATTTAGAAATGGAAGTATTTTTCTTTCAAATAGCTACACAGAAAAGAACCACCAGATGTTTGATGCAGATTGCATAAGTTTTCCTGTTACAGTATCTCATGTATGTCACACTCACCATTGGAGCAGAATGGCCCTGTGTATGCAGAGAAAGTGCAGTCACAAAGGAACCCACTGGGCCTTTCTCTGCATTTCCCTCCATTGCGGCATAACTTTCCATAGCTGCTGCAATGTCCCCTACAACCCGGCTGCACCTCTGGAGTCACCTGGGCCCTTTCTTCCAAATCCAAGGTCATTCCATTCAACTGCAGAGACCGAATGCAGCCCAGAAAGCCTCTCTGTCTGGTGGCCGTTCCACCTAAAAGGGAAATACTGCAAATGGAAACATGTTCCTAGGTGTTTTATTCAGGATTTAAAGACCAAACAAAACTGAGGCCTTACAGAGAATAGCAAAAGTTGGATGAGCAAATATAATTTTAGAAACACAATTCATGACCAAATACAGACTTCAAGAAGATAAAACATTAATTAAACTTTTTTTAAAAGTTGGATTCATTACATATTTGTTTTCTAAGAAGGATTTATTAATTTTTAAACTGAGGAAGTTTTTTGGGTGTTTTTTTTGTTTCTTCATTTCAAAGAACAAAGACCATACCTTATTTTTATATAGAAACCATTTTTTTTCAATTTTATTTTGGCTTATTATTATCTTTCAAATTTTTTTAGAGCAATTTTGGTGAAACCATGGATAAGTCAAAAATCAGTGTTATTTTCGAATATGAGTTCTGTCCTGGAACCAACGCAGCGTAGACAGCCAGAAATATCAGCAAAGTGTTTGGGAAGGATGTGGCTAATGAACGCTCAGTATATCGATGGTTTGAGAAGTTCCATTCTGGTGATTTTAATCTTGAAAATGAGCCACATGGGCAATCTGAGACTATCAACTGTGTGGATAGTGTAGGCGCGTACTTCAATTAATTGTACCGCTTCTTGTTTGAGATATAAGAAATTACACTTCTGATTCAAAATCAGACATTTCATACTTAATGACCTAATAATTAAACAACTTGGGGTCCAATAACTGACTGCAGTCCATTTCCAACTCTTCTAACTTGTTTTTTCTTTAGTTTGTAATGGATGATGAGGAACTAGAGGTATAGAGAATTTCAGGGATTGTCCCAGGTGCTGCTGACTATTAGAAAATTAGAGGCAGAGGTAGGATTAGAACCCACAGGTAGCCTTTCATTCCAAGGAAGCCCCTTTTCTCTTCACACCACAATACAGTCAAAAAAAGAGAACTCTTCCATTTTCTTTTATGCTTCAGATCATCTTTGGTTTGAATGGAATTTCTGTTCTCCAAGCTTTATGTAGCAGCTTTTTGCTGGGCACTGTGTCTGACCCTGGAGATGTGAAATTATATGCAGTTATCTTGCTCTCAAAGAGCTCACAGTCCAGTAACAAATTGAGACAGGGAAACATGAGATTACTACCTGGTTTTCATGGTGAAAACAGACACAAGGTGGAGAAGGTCAGAGTATGGGGTTATCATTAATAGCAAGAAAAAAATGCGTACGTGTGTGAAATATATGCTTAAATAGTATTTGTAATAGAAGGCCAGGTATGGTGGCTCACGCCTGCAATCCTAGCACTCTGGCAGGCCGAGGCAGGAGCATCGCTTGAGGTCAGGTGTTTGAGATCAGCCTGAGCAAGAGCAAGACCCTGTCTGTATAAAAATAGGAAAAAAGTAGCCAAGCATGGTGGCTTATGCCTATAGTCCCAGCTATTTGGGAGGCTGAGGCAAGAGTATGGTTTGCACCCAGGAGTTTGAGGTTATGGTGAGTTACGATGACGCCACTGCACTCTAGCTGGGGCAACAGAGCAAGACTCTGTCTCAAAAAAAAAAAAAAAAAAGTATTTGTAATAGAAGAAAATCAACACCCAACTTTGTAAACAGAACTTCTTATTCTGTACTTTTAAAGAGTTGTTTACCTAATCAAATAGTTTTAAACTACCTTTTTAAATGATCAGAAAACATAATGTCTAATTAGACACAAACAGTTGTGTCATACATGTACTGAGGATTTTTACTTTACCATTAGGTTTCAAGTTAATGTTTTGTTTTGTTTTCCAGATGTAACTCTTCTGAAAAGCATGGCCAATGTAAATAGAATTGGACTTGAAAGCTTAATTAAAGATTCCAGTGCCTTTTCAGGGTTAGAGTATGTCCAATTAAAATGAGTTGCGGTTTGATTAATTGATTCTGGATGTTTCCACTGAGCTATTATGTTTGAAACTATCTTCCAATTAATTTTCTATCAATTTACCTGCCAGGCTATATCAGATATAATGAATTTCAGAACTTCACAAACACTGAGTATCTTGTGAAACAGATGCCTAACCTTTCTATGTGATTGAATATAACTGCACCTGTCCACTTATATAACAGTATGGAGGTCTTGCAACTGAATAACTTTGCTAGGTGTGGAGTAGAGACTGAGTTAGCCTTTACCACCATTGGCAGAAATGGTGGTGTCAGTTAATGTAGAGGTCTGTGAAAGTGGAATCGCATCTACAATTTTGCAATGTGATGTTCCTCATTAAGCGAAATCCTAGAAGCTTAGGGAGGAGGAGGGCTATTCTCTATTCTCTCTCACATTCAAAGAACTATTATGATTTAAAGAGGCAGTTGGTGTAAGCAATAGTGTCACAGGCAGAAAATTCTGTCACTTTTCCCCAAACCAAACTCAGTGCAGAGAATATGCCCCAGTGGGTAGTTACAGCAGAAAGAATGGGTCTATTTAGACTTCTCCCATATTGAGGCCACAGCAGCTCTCTGGTTTGAACATATTAAAGTCTAGTTTAAAGAAATGAACTGTTGGTGGTATTAGTCATAATTTCTTGTCTCAGGATATCTCATCTGAATTCTGACTTCAGTCCATGATCACTAAGATTTACCCACTGGACATGGGAAACTACACTGGGGGAGGGGGGTCTTAGGCTAATAAAGAAAAAGATAACTCAAGAAGAGAAGAAGCAATAATTAAAATAAATGATTTGATTACATTAAAGAGAAATGTGACCTTTATTGCACTAAATTGGTAATGGAGGAACACATTTACTACAAAAGAAAATTAGGCTGCAATAAAAATTATTCAAATATAAGGCTGCTTGATATTCTTTTCCCATAACTCTATTTTAGCATATCAAAAGCTAGAGTTAAGAAAAAGAAAAATCTGGAATATATTATAATTAAGAACTATTCATCAAAAGACACAATTAACAATATGAAAGCACAATCACTTCACAGAGACGAAGATATTGTAATAAATTTATATGAAAAGGACT